AGCTTGAGATATTTGTCTGGACATGACAGGGCGTACCTAATCATGCCAGATTTGGTCAGGTTCAGTCAGTTTCTGACAGGCTCAGACATCATTTTTCAAATATTTGTCGTGCTTTAATCTGGCACCCTGGAATCACTTTTGCTGTTGGCACAGAGGTCCATGAGGCAACACGTGTATGGATGTGAGTAAAACAACACATTCAAGCCAGGTCCAGACATCACTTTTTCAGGTAATGAAAAAGGTTCAAAAGGTTTCAGGTTCAATTACAAAACTTTGGTCTCCACAAAAAAGCAACCTAAGTAGGAGTTAGATTAAAAAACTAGTAAAAATAAGACTGCTGTCCTCACAAATACCTGAGTATCAGTATTATCATTTAAAAGCCTCAGAGAAAAAGTTTGAATATCACTGGTTCTGTTTATGTTGACTTTCTTGTTGATATTCTCAGTGAAAATACGTACACATCCTCTACAGAGAGCAAAGTAAATATGCAAAGTTTAGTGCTCAACCTCTATTTATTTGCTGAACTTAGCACATTGAAAAACATCAACATTAAATAGGACACATTTTCCATTTTGTATTGATGTTTTCAATATGAATTTTTCCAACATGTTAAATTAAGCAAATAAACAGTAATTATGCATTAAAGTGTGCAGAAATGTGTTCCCTATAGAGGATGTGTTCAAACATGTAATCTGACCAGGTGTGCCCAAACTTTTGCATGCAACCGTACAAACCTATATAAATGGTAAGTAAGTATAATGGGGTCCAAAAATTGAATTGAGACCACATTGAAAATCTGGACCTTTTTTCACGTTAAACCGGGAAAAAAACAACAGTGACCACCACAGAGCAGGTATTATTTGGGTGGTGGATCATTCTCAGCACGGCAGTGACACCGACGTGGTGGTGGTGTGTTAGTGTGTGTTGCGCTGGTACGAGTGGATCAGACACAGCAGTGCTGGAATTTTTAAATGCATCCTCTAGTCCTTCATCAGCGGTCACAGGAAGCTGCTGTCTAGATATTTTTGGTTGGTGGACTGTTCTCAGTCCAGCAGTGACCCTGAGATGTTTAAAAACCTCAGCAGCACTGCTGAGACTGATCCACACATGTCAGTGTTGCTGCAGTGCTGAGAATGATCCACCACCCAAATAATGCCTGCACTGTGGTGGTCCTGTGGGGGGTCCTGACCAGTGAAAAACAGGGTAAAAGGTGGCTAATAAAGTGTGCAGAGAAACAGATGGACTATAGTCTGTAACTGTAGAACTACAGAGTGCACCTATATGTCAGTGGAGCTGATGAAATCGACAGTGAATGTAGAAACAAAGAGATGTTTGGTTGCACTTTATATGTTTTAGGTACCCTAACCATGAATTTGTTTAGTGTCTCTGCTGAGTTCTCAGTTGGTTGTAACAAAACAACTCAAATCCTGCCAACTCTGTAGTTTTTCTCAAAGCTGTTGTAAGACTATGCAACTCTGAAAACTCTTTTTGAAACAGTTTCCTTTAACACCTCAGCCCGTAACAGTTATGTAAATGACAGTTATGTAAACGTTGTGAAAAATATTAATGTAGTAAATATTTAAAGCTTACGTTTTTGCAATAATATAGTTTGTGTGTTGTATATTTATAATTTGTTCATTTAAAAGTTCAGGTGTGTAAACTTCAATTTAAGTAACTGAGTTTCAAAATGTATTTCTTGGTTTAAATCAGGGATTACAGTGTACACACAGATGAGTAAGCATAATTAGTGACTACTCACCTCTGCTACAGATACATGGATTACCTACGTCTTCTGTACATTAACCCAAGGCCAGCTGTGTCCTCTGAAAATCTGGAACTATAATTACCCATCTTCTGCTTGTGTGTTCATCGGTGTATTGTGTTAAGAGGACTGAGAGACTGAGGGACACCTGTACAGCGTGACTCAGAAAGGGATTTGCTGACTCATACACTGTGTGCAATTCTCTTAGTTAACAAGGAATTATACGATCTGATAAAGTTATGATCTACAGTCATTTGTTTCATCTTACTCATTAGCAGTGGGCTATAGTGTATTAAAAGTTGAAGTAAAATCAATAAAAAAGTAGCTCTGCATATCATCCTCTGCATATGTACCAGTTTGATAGCTCTGCTGTTCTCTAATTTGATTTTCTAAGAGGAAATAAGTTAACATGTCCTCTACAGGCAAGTTAAATGTGGCGGTGAGAAACCTTTGAATAGCAAGAGTAAACAAGAAAAACTTTCAGCCATCTCCCTACACTGAAGTCTGCTGTCATCAGTCTGTCACAGGTAGACAGTTAGGTGAAGGATAAATTCTGGAGTTTTGCTCTTGATAATTCTCGAGCGTTCAGAATTGTTCATGATTGATCATTGACATTGATGATTGAATGCAATCTATTTATGACTAGATCTCTTATGTTTTAGCTAGTTGACAGAATTGCAGGGAACACTGATTAACCCCATCAAAAACAGACACTCTGACACACTCTGACAGTGTAGCTTATGGTGCAAAAGACAAAATAATTATGTAAATCTAGAGATTTGTTTGCTTTTAGTTCCTGAGATGTTTTATGCTGGTGCAGCATTAAAAAGGTAGTTATAGATGTCTGGATATTATATTATGGGCAACAATGCATGATTGGAACTCAAAAAAGGCTCATCAATTTGGTTCAGATCAACATTCATGATCAAACTGACTTTTTTCTTCATATCTTGATTTGAAAGCTGTAGCCAGCACTGACCGCTCGTACTTGTTATGCTGACAGAATTTCAACAGTGTGACTGTGGGACACTGAAAGTATGAGCACTTTGTCAAAATCCTACTCACTTAAAAGTGGCAGTATAGAGCCAAAACTCTACTTCTGTGAAAATCAAGCTGTATCTCTGTTTAAACATACTCAAGTACACAGTCATGTGCAAAAGATTTGGCACATTTGGTCAAATTTTGTCACTAACAAAACAATCATATCACTACCCAAACTTTACCAAGTGTTTGGTGTTGTTACCAAGCTGTTTCGGCAGTGACAACTTTAGCTAATTTCGAGCAAAACTCAAAAAGTGCTAGCCTGTATATTACTAGCTGACACAGCTTTGAACAGTTGTACACACAATCATAATATTTTAATTAAAACACAAACGTTGACTTAATTGCAGGACATAAGTTTCAGTAGTGACAGGTCTCAACCTTACACAGTGATTTTCAGAATGTCAACTTCAGAACAATGAGATTGAAGTGCTCACCGTGTGGCCTGAGGGACAGGGATGCAGTCTCACTTCTTACCCATAAATGCAGGGGTGTGGCTTAAATAAGGCTCCGCTTGTGGACTAAAATGCTTTGTGTTTTGGTACAGATGAAAAACAGACTTTATTTTATGAATAAAGTTATTATATACAAAAAATTACACTCATGATAAATTTAAATCTTTCAACTTCACTTTAAGAAAAAATAAAAAGATTTTATGCATTATTTTCACAACTGTGAAATTTAGGGGTTAGGGTTTGGGACATCCCAATAGAAAGTATCCTATAATGACGATTTTGTATATATTTAGCTTATTACTATCTCAATTAAAGACTTGGGTTTAAATAGATCATAACATAATCCCTGTAAATATCGAAGGTCTGACTATTCATTGTTTCCTTTCTATTTATTTATTTTTTAATAGTGGGGCTGCAGTTTGAACTCATTTCTTAAAATAACCGGTATATAACATATGCTGTGTTATTTTATCATATCGACATCATCTTTCTGAATATCATCTAAAATATTGATGCGTTTAAGAGAGAAGTCTTGTGCCTTGAACCTTTAATGAAAAAAACAATCATAGCTTTAGCCAAATCATTAGCTTCATATAAATCAAGTCCCACTACCACCTAGGGCTTATTGTTTGAAAGACCACCTCTGTAGTAAGGCTTTGCTTTACCTATGTTTAATTTTGTTTAGATTTAAGTATCAGCACAGCAGTCTAGCAGTAACTGTGGTAGCACACGGGTTAATGGAAGATCTCCATTATCATAAGGATAACATTGTAAGTGTGTGAGTACATAAGAGTTCCCTGATGCTGTACATATGTGTGTAAAATGTGAACTGTAAATACATAATCATAATCTGCTTAGCCATCATTTGCCACACTGACCTCAGGGAAGATTAACCCATCAGTGCTTATCCTACCTGACCCACAGTCATAAATATCTGTGACATAATTCCATAAACCTTGCACAGCTCTTAATCCAAGGTGACTGTGAGGCTCGCTGCCCACTTGTAACCTAGGATAGACCTATTAATATCCGTAATTACAGCTGCTTCTGTTTTCTTTCTTTTAGGTTTTGGATTAAGGGTTGGTCTACACTTATTATAGAATTTATTTTAATTTTTAATGATTCATTTTCTTGCACAAATGCTTGATATTATGGAAAGTATTTCATGTATTCTGAGAAGATGAAATCAAATTCAGAGCAGTCACCCATAATTTGATACACCACATTAAACGTCTCATTTCAGATAATTCTGTTTTTATTTATTTCAAAATACTAGTTCAAGAACATCCGGTTAACAATGCAGCTCAATTAAAACATGAAAAGGGTGATTCATTTGCAAAGTGCATTTTATTTTTACGTTGCCTTGATTACATGCCTCTACAATCACAACAAAGCCAGTAACATTAGGAGTCCAACAGTAAGAGCGCTAAGATCGTTTTCCCTTTGCCACATTGGAAAAGAAAAAAAAACAAGCAAAAACACCTCATGCACAATTACGTTGGACTGGCTGAATGTACAGAAACAACTTGGACGTGGCCCGTCCTTTCTCTCAACTGTCTTTAGATTGAACCAATTGGGTTTCGTAAAAATACAAAAAGGTGAGATGACAGAGACGTTACTTTTGGGAGTGGTAGCGGTCGCTTGGTTCTCTTTGCTGAAGTCTTCGTCTTGGTCTCGGTGGCCGTCGCGTGAGGAGCCCGGCAGGTTTTGCGATGGAGTGTGTGTCGGCGGAGGGTGCCACTTTATGCTGGGGACACGGAGCTGGAGGAGACAGACGAGGCCTCGGTCTTGGAAGCGGTGGTGGAGGCACCCTCCTCTTCCTCGAAGGGGTTCTTGCCGCAGCACAGAGTGGTGATCATGCAGTGGCGGAACTGCTTGTTCAGGCAGATGTAGATGACTGGGTTGTAGATGGAGGAGCTCTTGGCAAAGAAGGCTGGGAGGGTCATGAGAACAGGGCCAAACTCGGCTCCCTTGTGGGTGAAGAGCCACCAGGCTGTGCCGGCATATGGCAGCCAGCAGACCAAGTAGGCGATGAACATGACGATGACCATGCGGGTGACCTCACGCTCAGCCCTCTGGGTGGTCTCGGACTCCTGCTGCTGGGCGGCAGCCTCCTTGACGGTGCAGACCAGACGGCCGTAGCAGAAAGTGATGATGAACAGTGGGGTCAGGAAGTGGACGCAGAACATGTAGATGACGAAAGACTCGTTGTTGAAGCCCTCGGCGCGGGTGTAGTAGTCAATACCGCATGAGCACTGCATGCCCTCGGGGATGTAACGGGACCAGCCGAAGAGGGGTGGGACGACGCAAGCCAATGCCATGAACCAGGTGAATGCGACGCCCATGATGGCGTGGTTCTCTCCGAAGCGGAAGTTGCTCATGGGCTTGCAGACGACCACCCACCTCTCAATGGACAGCACGACCAGGCACCAAAGTGAGTTGATACCACCGAAGGTTGCGAAGAAGCCCTCCAGGTTGCAGCCCAGGCGCCCGAAGACGAAGTAGCCATGCAGCGACGTGTACATCGTGGTGGTGAAACCGCCGAAGACCATGAACAAGTCGGCTACAGCCAAGTTCAGCAGGATGTAGTTTAGGGGCGTACGCAGCTTCTTGTGCTCGATGGTGACGTACAGCGTGAGGAAGTTGATGGGGAAGGCGGTGATGATGAGGAAGAACATGTAGGCAGCCAGGCAGGCGTACGCCCACGGTGCCACCAAGTAGTACTGCGGATACTCATAGGGATTCCTCACAACGCCAGTGGCGTTGGACATGGGCACATAGAAAAACGGCCCCTCTGTACCGTTCATGGCTGCAGTCGATTGGTTGCGGTGCCCCTTCTGCAATGGTCTTTGGCTATGCCGGAGGGACGGTGGAGGAACGAGTCAGGACCGTGCTACAGAGGAACAGTGGGTGCAGCCCCATGCTTTATAACACACCTGGGATTAACAATGCTTTCCAGGCTGTCAGCACAAAACGATTTAGGCCACAGATAATAAAATAATCTCGTCCATCACTGCGCTGTATATCTGATAACTCATCAAGTTATTAAGGTTACCTGTCCAAACAGGTGCTTGGTCCAATTCTGTAGAGACCCACACCTGCTGACTAGGTTAAGTCTCAGTCTTATAAGTAATAAGCTTCGTTTAACTGGGTAAAAATGGTCACTATATTCTCACCTTTAAGGAGTTGCATATTTACCTCAGTTCCTTCTTCTGTACAGCCCATTTGTGTAAACTCAGGTCTTCTAGAACTCTTTAACTGTTGTTTATTTCCCAGATTAGACTGTCTTCTCATGGTGGCAGGTCCTTTAGTACTATAGTCCCCCAACACATTTGTGACTGCTCATCCATTTCCTCTTTTAAAACTGACCTGAAAACTTCTCTCTTCATTCAGTACCACTTTTCTCCACTTCATAGCTATGTTGTATGTTGACACCCCATTGCTGTCCTGTTCATTTTGTTCCTTTGGTTTCTGTTGCCTTTGCCTTTTACTGTCTTTACTTTGCTTTTCCTTATGATCTGTGAAAATAATAACATAATACTTTGCTCTGTTATTTTATTACTGCACATCTGTTGTGTTGTTTGCTTTTCTTTGCATACTTCCTCTTGTTTTGTTTCTTTATGATATTCTTGTGTTTCATAGTTGGCTGCATTTTCTGATCCTCTGTACCTCTGTAAAGTGACCTTGAGCTTCAAAAAGATGTTGCATAAATGAAACTTTATTCTTAATAGTAACTATTGCTAGTATTATTACTATTATTTACACATTTAGCACTGAACACAGTAGCACTTGAAGGTTCTGAGTAACAAAACCAAAATTAAATTGAAATGAAATTTTCTTTGCATCAAAATTGATGGGTTTAATTAACCAAAAAACGCTTCTGTTTTTTCTTATCCATTTTACATAACACAACAAGAATCGACTAACAATATAACAGGAGCATTCTTTCACCATTTTATTTTCTTAAAGCTCAAGATCTTATAATGTCCATCAATCACTGCATCCACTTAACTCCCATGTATTCAGAAATAAACTGAAACGCAGACAAATCCAGTTGAACTGTCCCATTGCACTGATACTTGTCGTGAATATTCGCTGCTACACAAATGCAATCTTTCCTGGGATACATAATATTTGAAAATAGAAAATATGGTGTAAAATTCTTTCATAGCCATATTTTATCACTTAACATTCAGAATTTTCCTTTGGTTTCATTTGACGAGAGGAGACTAAGTACCAGATTAGCAACAGATTGCGAGGGATAAAATTCACTTCACATCAAAAGATGCCCTGTGTGATCTCTTTGACCTTAATCTGCAGGAATACCATCACAGGGGGTGATGTCTCTTTAAGCGAGCAGAACCTGGAGAAAGATGAGGAAATTAGTATTGCCCCAACGCCACTCGCAGCTCGCAATCTGTGCCTTTCCATCATGCTCCATTTTCCGCCTGACTGCCTCTGCTGCATGGAAATGGATATCTCAGTAGAGTTGTCTTGGTGACAGTGGGTCCTGGAGGTCCTTTAGATGTAGACAGGCCTCCAGATCTCAGATAGCCCCACCATATCCAGGGCCGTTGGACTTGGTCACTAAGGGACGTTGTTAACATTTTGTTCCATTATTGGCGAGCAGTCTTTTGTGACAGGTTCTTGTTCATAGACCACCTGAAGTGGAGGAGAGATACTTTAAGGGTTTAAGTCACATTTTTCAGCTTTTTATTCATGTTTGAAGCTGCGCTGTGTAAGATACTTCTGTTAGAATGGAAAGAGGTGACATTACTAAATCAGGAGAAAAGAAGTTACCCTGTAAAGCCTGAAATAATCATTTAAAAGTGTCGAGTCCAACTTTGCGGGAGTTTTTCTAAACACGTCATACATCTATACGTGTTAACATCATACACAGGCTCAAGTTCGATCACAGATCCAGTTTGATATTATAGCTGTAAGTGATAAATATCTCCACTATCACTTGCAAAACCTCATATCTTCAAAATGGCATAATGTAACAGGGGTGGGGGGAGCTGGTGCCTATGCCGGCGGTTACTGGGCGGAAGGCAAGTTACAATCTGGACAGGTTGCCAGTTCATCGCAGAGCAGCATAATTTAACAGTTTGTGCCCAAATGATCACTCATTGATATACTACCAGTGACCCATTCAAACGTCAACACTGTTTTTCCCTAAATCTACTCAACATACATTTATATTCTCAAAGAGAAAGAGAGGTATACACTGTGGCAACTTAAACCTAAAGACTTAAATGAGTTTATTAGTGTTTTACATTAACGAGATTTATTAATGAGATTTTTTTGGACCATTTATACTGGTATGTATTTAGTAAGGTCTTGGGGGGGCCACAACAAGCCACCAGAACAGCACCAGTGTGCCTTCACTGAGCTGGAGGGATGGAACACCATTCTTCCAAAAGACATTTCCTTAGTTGGTGTTTTGATGATAATGATTGCGAGTGCTTTCTAACATTTTGGTCCAAAATCTCTCATAGGTTTTCAATTGTCAAGTCAAGTCAAGTGAAAGTTTATTTTTATAGCGTTTTTTACAACAGGTGTTGTCACAAAGCAGCTTTATAGAGAAAAATCCAGGTCCAGGCCCCCTATGAGTGTTGCCAATGGCAACAGCAAGGAAAAGCTCCCTAAGAGCAAGAGGAAGAAACCTTGAGAGTAACCAAAAGGGGAACCTATCCTCCTCTGGTCGACACCAGATAGCAAAACAATAAAACAACTGGATTGAGAGCTGGTGATTGTGAAAGCCACTGCATATAATTTACATAATTTTCATACTCATCAAGCCATTCGGTGGCCCCTCATGCCCTGTGGATGGCAGCATTGTCTTCCTGGAAGTGACAACTCCAATAGAAATGTTTTGTCATTTGATACAGGTGATCAGTCAGAATAACTTTGTATTGATTTGCAGTGACCTTTCCCTCTAAGGGGACCAGTGGATCAAAACAATGACAGAAATATACCCGCCACTGCCACCGGACCCCTCACTGTAGGGGCCAAACATTCAGGCCTGTTGGTATGTGCCACACAGGTATGGATGTTAATTGTATCATGTTGATGGTTGTCTGGATGAACGTCTACACTCTTCTTTTGAGGTTTGTCAGTAGACTGAAATGTGAAAATGCCATACTTTAAGCCCATTGACAGCTCAAGTTGTTTACATAGTTTACTCACTTTTCTCTTTTTATGAAAATTTTGTAGTGTTATACTACTTTGTAGCCTCTTTCTGCAGGCCCCTAGTAGCTAATACACCAGCAGAATAGAAATTGACTCAGATATTTTTATAAAACATAATAAAAAAAAAAAATTATCAGATTAACTGGGATACTGGGAGAAATGTTTGACTCTGTGTTGAGCTGTTAGTGAGCAATTGGGGTGAAAGTGGGGGTAAGAACCCCCAACTGTGATAACAATTCACACCTCTCTACAAAGACAGCTGTTCCGAGAAAAAGGACAGCACTGCAGCATTCTTCATATCAAAAAATCATCTACAAATGCCAAAATAAAAATAGCACCTAAAGCTGTTCTATGTAAGATTTGGGGATTTGAAGACCTCTCTGGTGGAAATGTGTAATTGCATGCAATGTGTGATAGAATATTTTTTATCTCTGGACCCCTTCCTTGAGCGGGTGAATTTGATGATTGCAAGCGTGATGAAAGAGTATTGAAAGAGAATTCAGTCAGAATTTGGTGAAGGACATGTCTTCTGATGAAGTAAGCAAATTATCTGCTATTGCCATCATATCTTCATCAGTATAATGTTGATGTTGATTTTGCATTTGAGACCTAAACATCAAGCCAGATCTTCTTTTTGACTGTGTGTGCTGTAAAGACCCTGTGAAATTCAACCCGACTTCTGACTTATTTCAGGCTTTACAGGGCAACTCGCAGCAGCACAAGCACACCATATTTTAGCAAGTTTTTTCCTCCTGACTCAGTAGTGCTAATTCTTTCAATTTTAGCACATACTTAGTGGAACTTTAAAAAATATTAAAAACATTTTTACAAATGTTGACTGGTCACATACGAAGAACAAAATGCAGTTTGCTTCTCTTTTGTAAATCATAAACATTTCTATTATATGAAATGCATAGTTCTACTGAGGGACCTCCAAAACATAGGCAATTGCATTTGATGGCTACTGTGAAGAAGGGTCAAAGATACATGAAACAATACAGTTAATACATGTGGAACCTGTTTGAATGGGCCACTGGTAGCACATCAATAAGCTATATACAATATCAAATTACAAGGAACAATTTTATAAAGTTTTTATCCTTGGAGAACTGAATACAAGCCCACAGTTATAACTGACTGGAAATCTTGGCAAGTCAATTCTGTTTACTGTTGTAAAGCAGGTGTAGACAGCTCCCTGTGTGGAATGCCAGCTTGTCTTTCGCAGGTGTCTACTGCAGCTATGGAGCACGTAGGCTTTTGTGCAAACACAGATACACCTTCAGCTCATTAAAGTGCTCAGGAACCTAATATTCCTAATATTAGACACAGCTGTGTTGGCTCATGATCAGACCTAAATCCTGCAGGCCTGTCCCTGATCTACAGTATAGCCTAAAACAGGTTTCTGAAGCTATCTGTATGTCATTTATGCTCTGTGTGCACTAGGGCTACTCCTGAGGTAAAGAAGGAGCTGGGCTGTGGCCTTGGGAGAGCATGCACTGGGCTCAGCACATTTCCAGCAGTGGGTTGTATGGAGAGGATTTAAAGATTAGAAAGAGGGTTGTTACACACTTAAAGGCTCTAAGCTGCTTGTTAGGCTCTCACACATTCACCCTTCAGGCCCTATAGAGGATTCTGCATGGGCCTGTAGTTCTGGAGCACATTCTGTAATAATGAACAAGGCTTCAGTGTCTATGTTGTTGCCAATGTGTGATATATATCTATATTTACACTCCTGGGC